TTGATTATAAGCTTGTTTTGACAGGTTTTTATTTGGGGAAGATTATATTGGATGTTTTTAAACCCTATTTACAATGTCCTGTACCAATAGGTTCTGAAATCAAATTTCAAATTATCCTTCAAATGTTCTTTGCAAATTGAGTTGTAAAACAGAACTTCAATGTGATAATAAAAATGTTCAACATGTTTTAGGGAATTCACAGAGAGATCCTTGCAAAATCTGGAAAATTTCTAGAAGTTTTTCCCTGGATGAAGTTTGAGTTTATGCAAAAATGTCATAGGCAAAAGGAGTAAACATGATCATGTTTTGTCATTTGGGTTTGTGTAATTTAAGCACTTGATTACTATCATCAGTAACTAGTATTCTTTGAACCTGCACTATATAATCCTAGTGTCAAATTTTTTTTCCCTCAACAGTGGTAGTGGTCTTCTACTCTTACTGATGTATTGTCAAGTGTAATATGCAGATTGACCCTGTAAAGTACAAGAATATCACATCTCATTTTAGAGTATTCTCATGGAGTAAGGCGTCAAGGGATTCTTGAGATGATACGCTCCTCCTACCCTTCTTGCATTGGGTGCAGCTCGGGGTGTTTCCAAGTTTGGATTGTATCAGTTCTTCAACAAGTACTATGATATTGTTGGGCTAGGATATACATTCGAACATTCCTATGAGTGTGTTATTTTCCACCTCCATAATCAAGGGATATACCTCTTGCTACTTTGCAAAAAAAAAATATTACTACTGTGATACAGTTATATGAAACTAAAAAACAAATAGAATTGAAATTTATGGCATTACTTTATAATACGAATGTTTTTTTGTTGCTTATTGTTTCTTTTGTATGTTTCTTTTTGTTGCGTTATGTTGTTTTTTGTTGCATTGTGTTGCATCTTGTTTGTGTTGTTTTTTGTTGCATTGTGTTTCATCATGTTGTATTTTGTTGTTTTTTGTTGTTTATTAGGTATTGAATTGTTGATTTTGATTTTTGTTCTTTATTTAGATTTCAATTTATTTTGTTGTTTTGGAACACACAACTCACACATAGAATGATAGAATGATAAATTTGAATCTTTCAAAATTAACCTATTGTGAATCAACAATAAGAAACAAATTTTGCAATACAACATCATTCTTATTCCCAAAAGATTTTGGAGTTGACTAACATGAATCGATCAATGATGTCAAATTCAAAAAGGGAAGAAACGACAACAAACAAAGAAGCAAAATTTTCAATCTATCAACAAAATGAAACACAAAGAAACAACATGCCACAAAAAAAACCTTGTCAAAATAATTACATGTTTTGATCTATTTAAAAAATCAAACAAGAAATTCAGAGTTCATACAGAGTACAATGTATCTATTTTCGAGTTAACAACTTAACATAGCCTTTTCATTTTTTTTTAACTATTTAGGTTTTATTAATTTCAGGCTTCACATTTTACGAGCCTTGTTTTTTATATTTCTTACATTTTCTTCTGATTACTAAATTTCTTGGTGTTTTTAAGACTTTTGGAATTTTTATTATCTATTTTGGTTATATTAAATTTTTGTTTTTAAAGTTTCAGACTTTTAAAATTTTATATATGTATTTTCAATTTTACTACTCCGTATGTTTTGACTTTTATATTTATACGTTTTACTTTAGTTAGTTTTTATTTTTTTTTCAATTGACAATTTTGTACGGAGTATTTTATTACATATGTAGATAAATTTAGTTCCTAAAAAGTATTTTGTACGGAGTATTTTATTTGGTACTAACTATGTTTGTTGTATAACTCCATATGTTTTTAACTTTTTGAAAGTTTTTTACTTTTAACCAAGTATCTTGTGGTCTGATGGCATCATCGTGACACTTCCACAGATGAGGTCACCAGCGGCGGACGCAGGAATTCCGGCTAAGAGGGGCGGCAGGGTAAAAAAATACATACAAATACATATATATTAAAATTTCGGAGTAAATATACCTAGGAAAATAAAATTTTGGGGGGACAACAACCCCCATTTGCCCCATGTTCGATCCGCCACTGGAGGTCACAGGTTCGAATCTCATCCCAGTTCAAAGATGTTGGCCTTAACAGAACAGATACTATAGAAAAAAAATTCTTTTTTTCTATTTCTCCAACATGTTTTTACGCTTTTCTAATTCATTTTTTAAAATTATATTCACATATTCTTGATTTTGATAAATTTCATTATAATTTCCCCTCTTTAAGTTTTCCTATTTTTAATCTAGATTGCAAAGACTTTAATACGTCGTCTTTTTTGTGTGATTATTTTAATAATTTTGACTTTGACAAATAAATCTATACATTTTGGTTTTGTAGCTTTGACTTTTAAAAAAAGAAAACATGAATGACTCGGCATATTCTACGTAGTATTAGCTTAGCACAGAATTTGGAGAAGTGCGGAACTACGGAGACCACTGCCGGTGAACACGTGAGCTTTTTTTGAAAAGGAAACTTTAACTTGTGTATTTTTGAAATAGTTTTAAAACGTGAAATAAAGTGATATTAGTTTCGATGTGAGTCTATTTGTGATAATTTCCCCAAAAAGAAAGATACTCATTGATAATGATAAAAAATATCAACAACTGAATTTAAGTTACTGAGTATTAGAATGAGGAAAATCTTTCTGAGTTTGTGTCGTTTACATAGATTATGTATTAAAAAATCATACTACCTCCGTTCTTAAATAAATGCATTTTTACACTATCCACATGTTCTACTTTGACTACGTTTTATTTATTAATGTAATAATACTATTTTATGAAAAGAAATATTGTTAAACTTGTCTCATTGTAAATTTTCATAATCTAATTTTTTTAATTTTTTTACTAATACAAAATTATTTATATTAATGGTCAAAGTTGTGTCTCGGCAAGTGTGAAATGTTGACCGTTGCATTTATTTAAGAACGGAGGAAGTATAATTTATGTATAATGAAGTATATGCATACTATTTAGGTTCTTATGTAACACGTTATAAGCATGATGCTCTAAATTCTAGATTTTTTTCCTTTTAACCATGTGGCTATCGATTATAGACTTTTCATTTTCCTTCCTATTAATGGCCGTGGCGATTCGTTGTTTTTCTCATGCTCAAAATGAAAACTATGTTCCATTGTAACAATCGATCAATTAAATTCTTTTGGATGTATTAGCATATATGTATATATTATATAGAGTGTTCTTCTCATCAGGCCGGCCTGACGGGCTTCCCCGTCCGACCGAGCCCGTTTGTGCACCTTCCCGGTAGAATTTTTTGATGAAATTTTTTGAGCATGTTCCTCATCAAGTCTAGTTTGTTCATACCAAATTTCAGCTCAAAATTCGATCGGGAAGGTTGTCAAATGATTTTTGCAAGTTAACTGGTCCGGAATATGTATTTTCCGGACCAGTTAACTTGCAAAAATCATTTGACGACCTTCCCGATTGAATTTTTGGCTAAAATTTGGTATGGATGAACTAGACTTGATGAGGAACATACACAAAAAATTTGAGCAAAAAATACCACCGGGAAGGCCCCCAAAAGGAGGAGGCCGGACGGCGGCTCCGGTCAGGTATACCTGACCGGAAGATCATATTATATATTATATCCATAGAGAGCTATAGAATGTATTGTAAATATCTCTCCTTCATATCTCCCATGACTCCCTTCTTATTTAATTAGATTCCATATGTACTCTACTCAAACATTTACAAATACATGCATAGTGAATATAATTCCCTCAAAGAAAAATTCATATTCCTTCATGATTTCAGGCTACTTGTATTGATCATGCTTTTCTTTGTTCTCTTTTCATTCGCCAATCACCTCTCTTGCCTACCGTTGAGCCATGACTAGTGAGGACCCTCTTGTATAGCCTATTCATCCAGCCCTCACCCTCAATAACATAAAAAAAGTTTTCGCAATCACTCTCGATCCTAAGAACGATGAGTACTCATCTTGGGTACTTCATTTTTAGCTACATCTTGAAGCTCACAACCTCATATTCCCGGTTGATGGCACTCCTTCCCCAGCATCATTGATGAACCCACCCGTGAGCAATTAGATGCCCTTCAACCATGGATGTTTTCCACCATGTCAAAAGGACCTCATACTCACCATTCTTCACTCCGACAAGACCACACAAGAGCTTTGAGACCACCTCCAAGCCTTGTTTCAAGACAACAAAGGAACCTAAACTGTCATCTCGTGAATCTCAAATTCAAGGATTATAGCGACATGGACGATTATTATGACAAGCTTAAAGCTCTACCCATTCCGCTCGAGGGTTAGGGGGTTTGACTTCCCGATGAATGAGAAATGTTTGGTGATTCAACTCGTTCATGGACTGCCCCCATAGTTTGATATTGTCACCTCCTTCATCTTAGAATGTATGTCTCCTTTTGACACAGCTTGTCCCAGCTGTGAACGGAAGAGCAATATCGAGCACAACTATGACCAGTCTGGCTCTTTCTCATCAGATTCAATAGCTTCGCTTCACCGAAAATCAACATCGCTAGAGTCGTAACCCTCCTCTTGATCGTGGTAGCAATTAGCACCACCCGAAAGGTGATCCCTCCAAGAACTCGTACCAGTCTTCCCGACCGACAAATAACCCCTTCATACTTGAATTTCAAGCCTATCCTTGGTCTATGGGCCTCCATATTGGGCTATTCCCCCTTCCCATATCCCAGTATGTGTGTACTTCTCCATATTGGGCAGGTACTCCTCACCATCCCCCCAGGCCCACTAACAGCAAGGAAAGGCGTGTAGAAAGGGTTAAAATATAACAGGAAGACAGGTATAGTTTATTTGTTAAAATATAACTGGTAACTTTTCTAGACATAGGAACACAACACCAAAACACCAAAACTTTTCCTCTAACACTACAAACTGCTAAATCTCTTAATTAATTACTACTCCATTTAAATTTGAATTTCAATAAATTAAAATATATCATATAAAAAGCTAATATACATGAACTAAGCCAAACTCCTTTTGTATCAGATGCAATAATTGCATGTTGCATTTACTAATTTCATAAGATAATTTATGACATTCAAGTTCAAGGACACCACATAACAGAAGCTTACTATCATTCAAAGGATTTTTTTTGCAAACCAAATAACTATATTATTGATTATCGTTTTCCAACAAAACAGCAATACAATCCGGTGGAATCCCCACCCAAGTACAATCAGACTCCGAAACAGCTTGCCTTGCCAAGACATGAGCAACCCGATTCGCTGATCGCTGCACAAAGTGGACATTTAAACTAGCAAAACCTGCCATCATATGTCTAATTTCAGCATAGATACCATCCTCATACGAGATACCATCGGAAGTTATAATTCCATTAACAACCGAAAGTGCATCTGATTCGACAATAACGTGTCGCCATCCAGCTTGGGCCGCCCAATGGATCGCCTCTCGGATAACAAGCGCTTCCGTTGTGCTAACTGAAAATCGCCCCCGCTCCCTTACTCTCTTTCCAGCAACAAAAGAACCTTTATTGATACACTTGTAATTTTCATATGTATGTGTATGTTTTTAGTTAGCTTTTGTTGTTTGATACTTTGGAAATTACACACTTTTGGTGTAATAGTTATGTTTGTAAAATAGTTGTAATATGTTTTACATTAGGTCTATTCTGAGCTAAACAGGTCCAGGATCAATCAAATGATCATTGATGAAACCAAAAGAGGAAGGAAGATGCAAGAGTGCAAGACAAAAAGGAAAGTTCTTGATTTTGACCTGTACCCGGTCGAGTATACCATATAACCGATCGGATACCCACTTGACTTCCAATCAGATCAATTCGGGAAACAAAGGGACGTGCAGGGGAAGATTTGGCCACGATCAGTTGTTATACCCGATGGGGTACACCGACACACCCGATCGGGTATACCTTTAATTTTAACCCTGAAATCGGTCGAGTATAGCTCGAATTCATCATTCTGCAAATACCCGATTGGGTACCCAATGTATTCAGCTTCAGCAGTGCTAGTTGAGATTGAATTCTGCTTCTTGCTAAACCAGGAGACAAGTCTCCCACCCAGCAATTGACAATGACCGGAAGTGCTCTTCCTGTCCAATCTACAACCTGCAAAATCTGAGTCAGAGTAACCAATTAGTTCAAAGTTACCTCCCTTGGGATACCATAGGCCTGCATTTGGATTTCCCTTGATATATCTGATAATCTTCTTAGCAGCAACTAGATGGCTCTCTTTGGGCTTTGATTGGTATCTGGCACAAATTCCTACAACAAAAGCTATATCTGGTCTGCTTGCAGTCAGATAGAGGAGAGATCCAATGATTCCTCTATATGTTGTAGCATCAACATCTTTGCCTTCATCATCTGGTCCAATGCCTTGAGATGCATTCATTGGAATCTTGACTGAAGATTTTCCATCTACTCCAAACTTCTTGATGAGATCTCTGGTGTACTTCCCTTGGTTGATAAAGATGCCTTCTGGAACTTGTTTGACTTGTAATCCAAGGAAATAACTGAGTTCTCCCATCATGCTCATTTCAAATTTCTTCTGCATTACTTTAGAAAATTTCTTGCATAATTCTGGATTAGTGCTTCCAAATATAATGTCATCAACATAAATTTGCACTAATAGAATATGATTAGCAACAGAGATTTGAAATAGAGTTTTGTCCACCTTTCCTTTAGTAAACCCATGGTTCACTAAGAATAGGGACAATGTGTCATACCAAGCTCTGGGAGCTTGCTTAAGACCATAAAGGGCCTTTCTGAGCTTGTAGACACAAGAGGATTGAGTAGGAATGACAAAACCTGGAGGTTGTTCAACATAAACTTCCTCTTCAAGTTCTCCATTCAGAAATGCACTCTTTACATCCATCTGGTAGACCTTGATGTTGTTGTAAGCAGCATAGGCTAGGAAAATCCTGATTGCTTCCAGTCTGGCAACAGGTGCAAAGGTCTCATCAAAATCTATGCCTTCTTCTTGACAGTATCCCTTTGCTACCAGCCTTGCTTTATTCCTTACAATGTTTCCTTCTTCATCTACTTTGTTCTTGAATACCCATTTGGTTCCAATGACATTCTGATGTTTTGGTCTAGGAACAAGTTTCCATACTTCATTTCTTTCAAACTGTGTCAGCTCTTCTTGCATTGCATTTATCCAGTCTGAGTCTTCTAGAGCTTCTTCTACATTCATTGGTTCCATTTGAGAAATGCAGCAGGTGAACATGGCTTCTCTTCTAGATGCAGATCTCGTCCTAACACCACTGGTGACTTGACCAATCACTTGATTAGGAGGATGATCTCTTAACCAAGTTAGATCAGGTTCTGATAGTTGCTGTCTAGGCAACTCTGATGGTTCATCTTCTGATTCTTCATCTTCATCTTTATCTATCAGAATTGGGTTAGTAGTAGGAGTTGAGAATACTGGATTGCTAGTGATCTCTTCTGATGGTTCTGAAACCTTATGTAACACCCTCAAATTTCCCACCCAAAAATACATTTGAATAATGGTTTATTCGAAAACATCAGAGTCTTGCAGCGGAAAATTCAAAGGGAAACAGGGCGTTACCGCCACACTCGGTTCTCATATAACCGAGTGCACAGGCTATCCACCACCAACCAATTAAGATTTTCCAAAATTAATTGTTCAACTACAATTCTTTAAAATTAAGACTAAAATAAATTATTCAATCAATTTAGTCTATGTGTTCTAGCGGAAGCTCTCGAAATCAACTTCAACATGATCCTCAATTCCTGCACAAATAAAGTACAGAAAGAAAAACACAAAGAAACAAAAATTAGCCGGAAATGCTAAGTAAGGCCCACCCAACCCTGTAAAATAATCATGTTTGATACATATATATCATTTTGTAAAAACATTTGGGAGGAAACCTCATGAAACATTTTATACAAACTTCTCATCACAAAATCACATGAAAAATAATAATATTTCAAATATAGGTACATATTTCCAAATCATAATAATTTTAAAAGGTCAATATACATAAACCACCAAAATCCTCGTAATTATATTCCAAAACATAAATCATATGTAAAGCCCAAATATTCATCTCAAAATACTTCCAAATACTCATAATCAATATTCAAAATAACCATATCAAATCAAATTAATAAGTATTACTTTGAAAATCTACAAATAATTTAATAATCTCAACCACATCAAATTCAATCCAATCCAAACAAATATAACCTACTCAAATAATCCAATATAATGTAGTTCAATTCATCTCCATCAAGTCCAACCAAATAATCCAAATCATCTCAAGTCCAATCATTCAAACTCAACCAAATCCAATGGAAGCCGAACTCCTACCTTAAGTGTGCACACCCCCTGAAAGAGATTCCAAGCTCTCCGGGTAGTAAAAAGTCCGAGTAGTCGGGATTTTTCTACCGACTACTACAATTAAGCTGGGATGCTCCACTTTTGGGAGATCCCTGGTGGAATTAGACTTATAGCCATTACCACTCACCAAATCCACGTTTCTCCGAGTACTCACAAAATCATAATTCAATCTCAAAGTTCCAATATCATAACCTCAATCAAAATGGATATGAAATCCAAATTCCACCAAATTATTCATAATGAAATTATTAACTCCAACTCATCATACTCAAATATACCATAAATAATCCAAAATATAGGATACTTCATAAATAGCTTAAATCTCAAATCTCAATCCAATAACAATTCATATGTAAATTCAAATGCTCAAAATATCACCCAATATAAAATACTCAAATCTATAATTCACAATCACAATTGATACGTAAAATCTCATTTAACTATCTTATACTCAAATGATCTCAAATAACTAGTCACAAATAAATTTATATGGGAAAAGCATGAAATTTGGTTGACATAGTACTTACCTCGAATCGCGATAATCCTAACCGAAGCTTTAACCTCGATCCTCTTCAAATATCACCTTCTAGAATATTAAAAATTCTAGAATTAATAATTATTCTAACCCTTCCTCAAATGTCCGATTTGCTTTTACTCAATGGTTAATTCATTAATCCAATTTATTCCCTTTAGTCCAATCTATTTAATTATCCGGCTCAACTGGAATATCTACCCTTGTTTTGTTCCATCCATTCCGGTCATCCAATTCGTTTTACTTTGCTAGTCTATTTCTATACCTGAATAATTGTCCCAATGAAAAGCAATGACTCTGCCGAATAATTCGATTCTTCTAATTATTCTGTCAAAGTATTACTAATTGTCACTTTTAGTATCCTCAAATTAATGTCGTTTTTCTTTAATTATTTCAGCCTTATCCATTGTGTTTAGAAAGTGTGGCCCAATTATCACACTACGTAATAAAAGAAACCAGCTAACTAAATTTACGGAGTAAGACAGTAGGATGTACATACGTAAGTTGTTCTCCGTCGAACGATAACGGCCAGGTAACAACGGGCTGCTGCGAATCTGCGATGCGTGCGACGGTGCTCCCACTCCGCCGCACAGAAACTCTGGCGGCATCCGGTGAAGACAGCAACGTTGTCCTAAGGTCTATCCCCTGGCCTCCGGCTCCTTTGCTATCGACCCCCGCGGAAACAGGGGTCCGTAGAAGACTTTCCAACTGCGAACGAGAAGAGGTGACGGCGAGTTCCACCACTCCAGTAGCAGGAAGATGCGGCAGGTTGGCGACGTTCAGAGGATACGGTTCAGTCCGGCTGAGATGACTCCAGGTTCCTCCTTTTCCTAGGCCGGCGATACAGGCTTTTCTTCCAGCTGCGGTGTCCCAGTGTCACAGCGGCAGAACAGGTTCCTGGTTGACACGAACGAGTAGTTGAGATTTTCTTTCGACACTAACCAGTCTGTCATTCTCTCTTTAGGTTGCTGTGCGCAGAGAGCTAAGGTTTGCAGAGGGGTTGAGTTCGTCCGCCTCTATCTTGGGCATCGTTGATGAGGTGAGGTATACGGAGTATGATGTAACGCAGTATACTTATATATATGTGGCGGGCGGACGTATGATAAAATTTCGCAGGGTAGGAAACTTATCACATGAGCCTTATATATATGTCCCAGCACGTTTGCTTCATTCGGGGTGGATTATCATTCGCAAGTATGATTGAGAATGAGATGACAAATGCATATGGGAGGCATGTACATGTGGTGTCCCAACATACATATATACATGGGTATGTCATGTGTGTCACATGGTATTCACGTAGGTACCTTGTATCATTCTCTTGCCCATGTGCGAGTGTTTATATGTGTGAAGTATGATCAGTACAACACATAATTTATTAGCTAGTTTCACTATATGGTTTTTTTTTATGTGTACAACTACCTTTGTATAACAATTAATTTACATGTAGTACCTAAGAACATACGAATTATATGCCATGTGCATTTTATACTCCTTATAGTTTAGTTGTGAACATGTATCCTATCGGCCCCCCTTATAATTAATATGTCATTTATATATATATATATATATATATATATATATATATATATATATATATATATATATATATATATATTATGTATATTCTATGTATAATTATCACTTGTTACAAAAATGTTACTTTTGTTATTTAAGTCAAGATCCTATTTTATCAACATAATTATTATAAAAATGTCACTTTTATTATTGAAACATTTTTAGCCGATTAAAGTTGTCACCGATGTAAAAATTTTATCTGATTCACTTAATTATTAAAATGTGACTTTCATAACATTTTATCTCACTAATAAAATTTATTTACTTTATTGCAATTTTTTCGGGGTGTCACATTCTACCCTCCTTAAAAGATGTTTCGTCCCGAGGCATAAGCTAAGAAAAATATCCGCAACTATAATTGTGTGGTGTCACATTTTAATTAATATTAAATTCTTTTTATTAAATTTATGGAGTGTCACATTCTACCCTCCTTAAAAGAATGCTTCGTCCCCGAAGCATTTAACTTATTCAAGAAAATAATTTATTCATCAAAGATCAAACGATACATAATTCTCAAACATTTTTACTAATTATGAAAATTAGGAATCGATATGTTTTCGCCTACTATTCTGAGGTTCTTCCATTGTGTCTTGCATTCTTCTCATGATGATTGAGTCCACGAGTTGGAGGGATTCCCTTCTTTCTTGAATGACACTCGAACACCCTATGTCCAAGCTTGTCACAATGAAAACATCGTGCGAGTGTTCCGTCACAGTATTTCCCGGGGTGATCTTTTCCACACTTCGAGCAATAGAAGTGCATCTCTTCAGTTGAGTTCTTCTTCTTACACTTATGGTCTTGACCTTGAAAGTTGATCTTGTTCTCGTACCGAGTGTGCCCCAGCTGAATTAGCTTGCATTGTTTGCCTCCTAGATTGCTTTCTCCTTCAGTCCCCTTCCTCGCTCTCTTGAGTGTTTTCTTCTGGAGTTGTTGCACTCGATAGTGCTTGCCAGCTTTGTTGTAGGCATCGTTCAACGTTTGGCATTCTGAAACGCAAAGAGCTTTTTGCGTCTCGAAGTTCAGACCGCGTATAAACTTATTTGTTTTCTCGATTTCATCGGGAACTAGCGTGGGGGCAAATCGTGCGAGATTCAAGAATTTAGCGTGATACTCTTGGACAGTCATACCCACTTGCTTCAGGTGTAAGAATTCTTCATACTTCTCAGCTCTAACGTGTTCCGGGTAGAATCTTTTTCGCATTGCCTCCTTGAACGTCTCCCAAGAAAAGTCAGGTTGTTGACGCAACGTTGGGGCAGTCGTGGCCCACCAATTGTCTGCTTCTTGACGTAGATAGTACGCAGCCGTATTAACTCGTTGATCTGCAGGGCAGTTTATAGCGTCGAAAAGTTTGTCAAAAGTGCGAATCCAATCCTCAAGGATGAGAGGATCTTCTTGGCCTAAATAACACGGGGGATTGCGCTTCGCAACAAGTTTTGCTACATCATTGCGGTTTTTGAGATGTTGTTGGTGTTGGTTCTGAACTAACACACTCCCGATAGTCTGGGTGAGTTGAACCATATTTTGAGCCAACTCCGCATTCGTCGTTGCGGCGATATTGTCTTCTACTTTGGTTCTCGTTAACTTCATTGTCTACTTGAAAGAATAATGTTTGAGACACAAAGTATGTCAATGACATTAACAATTATACTACCTTACCTGATAAATCACTACTCACATAATTTGGTAAGTTCCTCTAAGAGTCCAAACTCATTCTCAAATGAGTCAATAATGATATATCTCATATAAGTATAACTCAAACAATTCAAACAACCACAGATTCCACCAAAATAAAAATTCAAAATCCCACATTCTCACCACGATCCTAAATATATATTATTTCTTAGTCCAATTATTATTCCTATGTTTTTTTTCCTTCTTCAAAACACATTTAGAAAAGCGGGTTTCAACTTTTTTTTTTTTTTTAAACATTTGAGAAAACCCCTTGTAAATTTTTAATATGTTTTACAAAACAAAATCTTTATACCAACTTGTTGGCCGATGTCACTATTTGGAGTTTTAGGAAATCTTAGAAAACCTTTTTTTTTTTTTGAAAATCAAAATTTTAGAAAACTTTAATAACTCCTTTTTGAAAATTGAAGTCATTGCGGGAAAACTTTTATGCAAAAATCCCCATTCGAAAACCGTAACGCTCTGATACCAACTTGTTGGTATCACTTAATAGAGTTAAAAAAAAAGATCTGAAAAAAATGTTTGAAAATCCCATTTTAGAAAAGAAAAGGCTCTGATACCAATTTGTAACACCCTCAAATTTCCCACCCAAAAATACATTTGAATAATGGTTTATTCGAAAACATCAGAGTCTTGCAGCGGAAAATTCAAAGGGAAACAGGGCGTTACCGCCACACTCGGTTCTCATATAACCGAGTGCACAGGCTATCCACCACCAACCAATTAAGATTTTCCAAAATTAATTGTTCAACTACAATTCTTTAAAATTAAGACTAAAATAAATTATTCAATCAATTTAGTCTATGTGTTCTAGCGGAAGCTCTCGAAATCAACTTCAACATGATCCTCAATTCCTGCACAAATAAAGTACAGAAAGAAAAACACAAAGAAACAAAAATTAGCCGGAAATGCTAAGTAAGGCCCACCCAACCCTGTAAAATAATCATGTTTGATACATATATATCATTTTGTAAAAACATTTGGGAGGAAACCTCATGAAACATTTTATACAAACTTCTCATCACAAAATCACATGAAAAATAATAATATTTCAAATATAGGTACATATTTCCAAATCATAATAATTTTAAAAGGTCAATATACATAAACCACCAAAATCCTCGTAATTATATTCCAAAACATAAATCATATGTAAAGCCCAAATATTCATCTCAAAATACTTCCAAATACTCATAATCAATATTCAAAATAACCATATCAAATCAAATTAATAAGTATTACTTTGAAAATCTACAAATAATTTAATAATCTCAACCACATCAAATTCAATCCAATCCAAACAAATATAACCTACTCAAATAATCCAATATAATGTAGTTCAATTCATCTCCATCAAGTCCAACCAAATAATCCAAATCATCTCAAGTCCAATCATTCAAACTCAACCAAATCCAATGGAAGCCGAACTCCTACCTTAAGTGTGCACACCCCCTGAAAGAGATTCCAAGCTCTCCGGGTAGTAAAAAGTCCGAGTAGTCGGGATTTTTCTACCGACTACTACAATTAAGCTGGGATGCTCCACTTTTGGGAGATCCCTGGTGGAATTAGACTTATAGCCATTACCACTCACCAAATCCACGTTTCTCCGAGTACTCACAAAATCATAATTCAATCTCAAAGTTCCAATATCATAACCTCAATCAAAATGGATATGAAATCCAAATTCCACCAAATTATTCATAATGAAATTATTAACTCCAACTCATCATACTCAAATATACCATAAATAATCCAAAATATAGGATACTTCATAAATAGCTTAAATCTCAAATCTCAATCCAATAACAATTCATATGTAAATTCAAATGCTCAAAATATCACCCAATATAAAATACTCAAATCTATAATTCACAATCACAATTGATACGTAAAATCTCATTTAACTATCTTATACTCAAATGATCTCAAATAACTAGTCACAAATAAATTTATATGGGAAAAGCATGAAATTTGGTTGACATAGTACTTACCTCGAATCGCGATAATCCTAACCGAAGCTTTAACCTCGATCCTCTTCAAATATCACCTTCTAGAATATTAAAAATTCTAGAATTAATAATTATTCTAACCCTTCCTCAAATGTCCGATTTGCTTTTACTCAATGGTTAATTCATTAATCCAATTTATTCCCTTTAGTCCAATCTATTTAATTATCCGGCTCAACTGGAATATCTACCCTTGTTTTGTTCCATCCATTCCGGTCATCCAATTCGTTTTACTTTGCTAGTCTATTTCTATACCTGAATAATTGTCCCAATGAAAAGCAATGACTCTGCCGAATAATTCGATTCTTCTAATTATTCTGTCAAAGTATTACTAATTGTCACTTTTAGTATCCTCAAATTAATGTCGTTTTTCTTTAATTATTTCAGCCTTATCCATTGTGTTTAGAAAGTGTGGCCCAATTATCACACTACGTAATAAAAGAAACCAGCTAACTAAATTTACGGAGTAAGACAGTAGGATGTACATACGTAAGTTGTTCTCCGTCGAACGATAACGGCCAGGTAACAACGGGCTGCTGCGAATCTGCGATGCGTGCGACGGTGCTCCCACTCCGCCGCACAGAAACTCTGGCGGCATCCGGTGAAGACAGCAACGTTGTCCTAAGGTCTATCCCCTGGCCTCCGGCTCCTTTGCTATCGACCCCCGCGGAAACAGGGGTCCGTAGAAGACTTTCCAACTGCGAACGAGAAGAGGTGACGGCGAGTTCCACCACTCCAGTAGCAGGAAGATGCGGCAGGTTGGCGACGTTCAGAGGATACGGTTCAGTCCGGCTGAGATGACTCCAGGTTCCTCCTTTTCCTAGGCCGGCGATACAGGCTTTTCTTCCAGCTGCGGTGTCCCAGTGTCACAGCGGCAGAACAGGTTCCTGGTTGACACGAACGAGTAGTTGAGATTTTCTTTCGACACTAACCAGTCTGTCATTCTCTCTTTAGGTTGCTGTGCGCAGAGAGCTAAGGTTTGCAGAGGGGTTGAGTTCGTCCGCCTCTATCTTGGGCATCGTTGATGAGGTGAGGTATACGGAGTATGATGTAACGCAGTATACTTATATATATGTGGCGGGCGGACGTATGATAAAATTTCGCAGGGTAGGAAACTTATCACATGAGCCTTATATATATGTCCCAGCACGTTTGCTTCATTCGGGGTGGATTATCATTCGCAAGTATGATTGAGAATGAGATGACAAATGCATATGGGAGGCATGTACATGTGGTGTCCCAACATACATATATACATGGGTATGTCATGTGTGTCACATGGTATTCACGTAGGTACCTTGTATCATTCTCTTGCCCATGTGCGAGTGTTTATATGTGTGAAGTATGATCAGTACAACACATAATTTATTAGCTAGTTTCACTATATGGTTTTTTTTTATGTGTACAACTACCTTTGTATAACAATTAATTTACATGTAGTACCTAAGAACATACGAATTATATGCCATGTGCATTTTATACTCCTTATAGTTTAGTTGTGAACATGTATCCTATCGGCCCCCCTTATAATTAATATGTCATTATATATATATATATATATATATATATATATATGGAAAAGATCCTGTCCAGCCGGAGGGACAGGATCCTCCGTCCGGCCGCCGCTGTTTGGGGCGGTTCCCGGTGGAGTTTTTTGATGAAATTTTTATGGAATGTTCCTCATCAAGTCTAGTTTATCCACAAAAAAATTCAGCTAAAAATTCGATCGGGAAGACAGTCAAATAATTTTTTGAAACATAACTGCGTTTTATATGTTTAAGTTGGAGCAGTTATCTTCAAAAAATTATTTGACTGCCTTCCCGATCGAATTTTTAGCTGAAATTTTTTGTGGGTAAACTAGACTTGATGAGGAACATTCCATAAAAATTTCATCAAAAAACTCCACCGGGAACCGCCCCAAACGGCGGCGGCCGGACGGAAGATCCTGTCCCTCCGGCTGGACAGGATCATTCCTCTATATATATATATATATATATATATATATATATATATATATATATATATTATGTATATTCTATGTATAATTATCACTTGTTACAAAAATGTTACTTTTGTTATTTAAGTCAAGATCCTATTTTATCAACATAATTATTATAAAAATGTCACTTTTATTATTGAAACATTTTTAGCCGATTAAAGTTGTCACCGATGTAAAAATTTTATCTGATTCACTTAATTATTAAAATGTGACTTTCATAACATTTTATCTCACTAATAAAATTTATTTACTTTATTGCAATTTTTTCGGGGTGTCACATTCTACCCTCCTTAAAAGATGTTTCGTCCCGAGGCATAAGCTAAGAAAAATATCCGCAACTATAATTGTGTGGTGTCACATTTTAATTAATATTAAATTCTTTTTATTAAATTTATGGAGTGTCACACCTTATCTTCAAGATTGATCTTCTGCAGGGTTTCTGATAGTCCTTCTGCAGAGGTGCTATCATCAAATTTGACATGAATGGATTCTTCAACTTGTATAGTTCTCCTGTTGAGTATTCTATAGGCTTTGCTTGAGCTTGAATAGCCTAAGAATACACCTTCATCAGCTTTTTCTTGAAATACTTTCAGATTCTCCTTTCCATTGTTTAGAATGAAGCACTTGCATCCAAACACATGGAAGTAGCTGATGTTTGGCTTTCTTCCTTTCCACAGCTCATAGGGTGTCTTCTGATGGTTCTTGTGGATCATGCTTCTATTCTGAGTGTAGCATGCAGTGTTGATTGCTTCAGCCCAGTATCTGATGGGCAACCCTGATTCAGCAATCATAGTTCTTGCAGCTTCCTTCAGTGTTCTGTTCCTTCTTTCTGCAACACCATTTTGTTGGGGTGTTCTGGCAGCAGAAAGTTGATGGAAGGTGCCATTCTGATCACAGAAGTCCTTGATCACTTTGTTGACAAATTCAGTTCCTCTGTCAGATCTGATTGTTCTGACCTTCATATTCTTCTCAGTTTGAAGTTGCTTTAGCAGAGATGGCAACTTCTGAAGAGTTTCATTTTTCTTTGCTAGGAACACAGTCCATGTATATCTTGAGTAATCATCAACCATAACAAGAGTATATCTTTTTCCACCAATACTGGGAGTTTCAACAGGTCCAAATAAATCCATGTGAATCAGATTTAGAGGACAAGTAGAAAGATCTCCAGCTATGGGTTTGAATGAGGTCTTCACTTGTTTGCCCTTCTGACAAGCACTGCAGAGGGTCTCCTTCTTGTAAACAATGTTAGGCAGACCATCTACAATGTGTTCCCTTGCCAGTTTGTTGATGGTTTTGAAATTCAGGTGGCTAAGCTTCTTGTGCCAGTCCCAGCTTAGCTTTGAATTCTCTTTAGCTATCAGGCAGGTTCCATCTTTTGCTGTTTGCCAGTCAACAACATAGATGTTCTTTCTTCTCTTGGCTGTAAGAACCACTTCCTTGGTTGTCTCATGCTTGACATAGCATAAGGTCTTGGTGAATTCAACTGTGTAGCCTTTGTCACAGAATTGGCTAGCACTCAGCAAGTTGAACTTCAGACCTTTGACATATGAGACATCTTCAATGATAATCTGGTTCTTGATCAGCTTCCCTCTTCCTTTTGTTTGACCATCCTTGTCATTTCCTCCAAAAGTGACTCGGGGTCCATTGACTTTCTGGAACTCTGATAGGCAACTCTTGTCACCTGTCATGTGTCTGGAGCATCCACTATCTATAAACCATTCTTGTTCTGAGATAGCTCCAGCACACAGTTCCTGTAAAATTAAAAAGAAGATTTAGGTACCCAAGCAATGTTGGGTCCTGGGGGGTAATGTAGTCTTGGTAGTTGGTACCATTTTGGTCTCATCAACTGAAACCTTGGTGGATGGTACCCATTGTCCACCTGGTAGTCGTAGTAAACAGATGTATGATTCACTTTGGGCAGATGCTTGTGAGGATCATGCTTTCTGTTTGCATACTTTTGCATAGCCTTCTTTGTTGGAAAGAAGTCCCATATACTATCAAGATCAGAGGAGCGCTTAACTTTAGGCTTCTGATGTTGACCAGACAACCTCTTCTGCCTATAGTTAATCTTCTCTTGATATCTGCCTCTCTGATAGCAGTTTCTGATACCATTGTCATGAGATTGTCTGATAGGATTAGGCCTTTGATTATTATTTTTCTGAAAACTTTTCCTTTTGTTAGAATTTCTGCCAGGTTCATTAGTTTTCAAACTTTGTTTTGGTTTGGCCTTTAGAGTTTGTTTCTCTGGTATGACCTTCTCATGAACAACCTTAGTACCAGAAGTACTAGCATGGCAAATGGGGCTGCAAGTCTGTGAAACTATGACCTTTTTGGCTTTAGCAACTTGGGTGCTAGGCCTTACAGAAGATTCACCAGACTTGGGTTCAACATATCCAAGACCAGGGGTAGAGTTGTGAAAGTCATTGATACCCTTCATAGAAGATTGCATCTTCAGAAGACTACTGTATCTGACTTCAAGATGTTCAATTTCTCTTATTCTCTTTAGAAGAGACTCATTTTCAGCTTTCAGCTTACTGTTCTCTTCTTTAATAAAGGAATAAGATCCTTGGATAGTCTTAAACTCTTCCCAAAATGATGACATTGGATCATCATTTAAGGCTGTGCCTACCGAAGAAGAAATAGAATCAGCTGTAGAGCATACCTCATCATCAGATTGTGCCATGAAGCAGAGGTCCACGGTCTCTGTATCCAGGCAGCAAAAGGCTTCATCAGAGTCGGAGTCTGAACTGGACTCTGATTCAGAGAGTGGATCTCTCTCAGCTTGTTCTGAGACAAAAGCTCTTCTTCTTCTATGTTGATCATCAGGTTTCTTTTCTTCTTCATGTCCTTGCTTCTTGGACACTCTTGGGAATGGACAGTTAGCCTTGAAGTGTCCAGGCTGTCTGCAGTTGTAGCAGAGGTACTCTCCATTGCTTTCAGAAGATTTGGTCTTCTGATGTGGTCTTCTGATGGAAGATGGACTCCTTCCATCTTTCTTCATAAATTTTCTGAATTTTCGGGCAAAGGCAGCCATATATTCATCAGATAGAAGAGTTGAGGGATCAAAGTTTGTTGCCTTAGAAGTGCTGGCAGTAAGAGCAGTTGTGGTTCTCTCATCTGGCACTTCTTCTTTCTCCTCAACCATCTCGAACTCATAAGCTTTGAGATATGAGATCAGTCTCTCTGTGGGGTAGGTCTTGATGTTCTTGCTTTCTTGGACTGCAATCACCTTCATTCTCCATGCTGAAGGCAGTCCTCTGAGGATCTTCATGTTGACCTCTTTGATGGTGAGCTCCTTTCCAAGCTCAGAAATCTCACTGATGAGAATCAGCAGTCTCTCATGCATCTTAGCAATGCATTCTTCTGGCAGAAGTTTGAAGTCATCAAACTTCTTCATTGCAATGGTCAGCTTGTTATCTCTTTCTTGTTCATCTCCAGCTCCAATCTCATCTAGCTTGTCCCAGATCTCCTTTGCAGTCTTGCACTTCTTGATTCTGTTGAAGTATCTTTCATCAATGGCCTTGTAGAGAATGTCCCTGGCTATGTTGTCAAGGTTGTATTGTCTCTTTTCTTCCTTGGTCCATTCAGACCTGGTCTTCTCAATCATCTGGGGCTGAGAGTTATCAATAGAGTGAGCAGGATTGATCTTCATGAACTGGATAAAGGGTCCATTCTCCAAGACTTCCCACATTTCATCATGCAAGGCACAGAGATGAGCTTTCATCCGAATTTTCCAGTCATCATATTTCTGATCTGTGAACATAAGATGCTTTGCAAGAGAGTTATCCATAATAACAAATAAATAGAGGCTAAGAACAAGCGGATCTTTGTTCAGAGAGTAACCTAAAAGATTACAAGAACAAGGAGGCTCTGATACCACTTGTTGGTCCCGTTTAATATGGTAATCAGTCTAGAGGGGGGGGGGGGTGAATAGACGGATTGGTTTTTCAAATTTTCTCTAAGTCCAAAGTGACTTATCAGAGAAGGTCTGATTCTGGTGACAGAGAAAGGCTGGTTCTTATATCAGAACTGGCCTTGGCAGCGGATTCTGATCTGTCCGGGTAGCCTCAGAAACACTAAGGCAAATGCCTTTCTGATA